AATTGCTGCTCACAGAACTCCACAATCTCTTCTGCACTCCCACTCTTCCCCTCTTTCAATTTCACAAAAGCACAAGGCTTTTCCTTCAGATTCTCATCATGCTGTCCCACAACTGCAGCCTCTAAAACCTTGGGATGACTTAGCAACACTGCCTCCACCTCCAATGTGCTTACAATTTCTCCCCCAGAAATGATAATATCCCTTGCCCTGTCCTTCAACTGAATGTGCCCATTTGGGTATATGACCCCAAGGTCCCTGGTCCTGTACCATCCATCCTTGAAAGCTACTTGATTTGCTTGAGGATTTTTAAGGTACCCCGTCATCAAGGTATTGCCTTTGAACATTACCTCACCAATTGTTTTCCCGTCGGCCGGTACACCCTTCATTGTTTCTGGATCTTTCACGTCCACTCCTTCCATTAGAAGGTTGCGGAGACCTTCCATGGATTCAATCATCCCCCGTTCATCCAAAGAATTCCATTCAGGTTTCCAGGGTCTAACCATCGCCGGACCAAGGACCTCTGTCATTCCATATGCATGGCTGACTCTGAATCCTAATCCCTCGACCTTGAGAATTTGAGTAATTGGAAGTACACCGGCGATGATGATGTGGACCCTGTGTGGAATTTGCTTCCCGTCTGCCTCCGGTGCGTCCGCAATCATGTTCAGAACAGCAGGGGCACCGCACAAATGGGTTACCCTGTGAAGCAGGATGGAATCAAATATGAGTTTCGACGACAGATTTCTCTGGCAGATATTGATGCCACCGAGAGCCGCCACTGCCCAAGTGCAGCACCAGCCGTTGCATCGGAACATGTCCACCGTCCACAGAAACACCAGGGGATACCTCATGTCATACCGAGAAAATGCTGCTAGTGAATTGAGATAGGCAGCCCTGTGACTGTACAACACCCCCTTAGGTTCTCCAGTGGAACCTGATGTAAAATTCACTGAAATTGGATCAAATTCATTTTCCGGTCCTATATTCTGAAAACCAACCTTTCCCAGTAGAAGAAGAGCATCGTAATCCAGGTTACTGGAATGGAAACTGTTGTTACCAACCGGAGATGTTTTCTTGTTACATTCAAGGATCGTAACCAGGAGAGGTAGCTTGTGCTGAATGTTGTTTTGGGAGAGTATTTGGGTAGCTTGGAGGACGATCTTAACAAATTGGTAATCCACAAAAATGATTTTTGCATCTAGATCTTCAAGTATGGTTGCTAAAGTTGTTGCATCCAACTTAATGTTTAGTGCAGAGAGAATGGCTCCGGCTATTGGAACAGCAAAATGCAACTCGTAAAGAGCTGGAATATTTGGGGCCAAAGCTGCGACCTGCTCATTGACGTGACAAAAAATTACCCTAGTACCACAAAGTCATTTGTCTAACTAACAAAGCTGGAATTGGTTAGAGCATGTTGATCTTAACCACAAGATCGGAGGTTCAAGCTCCCCTTTTAGGGTAATAATTTTACCATGTATATTATTGGTGGATCATCAAAATAAAAATAAAAATAATTATATAATAACACGTCAGAATTATAATTTATAATAAAAATTATAAATTTATAATATTAAATAAAATTATAATTATATTATTTAAAAAAAATTATTTATCTAATTAGACTGGTTAAAATTCTATTTTGGTCCCTAAACTATTCCATGGACACTAGATTTGGTCCTTAAACTAAAAAAATTCCTGATTTGATCCCTACTGTTTATTATTTTAATTCCAATTTGATCCTTTCGTTAAATAGCCGCCTATGTGTCCTGTTATTTGATGGGAAAAGGATGATATGTAAAAGCATTTTGACATCTAGGATGTACAACATGGCAAAAAAATGAAATGGCAAGAAAAAACCTTAAAAAATTTCTTTTTCCTTTTTTTTTCTTCCTTTGTTTTTCCTTTTCCCCTTCCTTCTTCCTCTCCCTTTCCTTTCACCTTCTGCAAACCCTAACACCTCCTAATATTAAATCTAAGGATAACACAACAAATCAACAAATCGAACTCAATAGATCCTTTGACCCAACGGTTGTTGGGTTCAAAACAAAACCCAACACTTGTTGGGTTTGATATCCTATTGGGTTCGAAATCGAACTTAGCACCTACAAAAATTTGAGGATAACACAACAGACAACAGATCGATAAACAGATCAAACTCAACAGATCCATCGACTCAATGGCTGTTGGGTTCGAAATCAAATCTAGCACCTACAAGAATCCAAGGGTAACACAATAGACAACAGATCTATCGACCCAATGGTTGCTGGGTTCAAAACGAAACCCAACGCCTGCTCGAACCTAACACCTACAGGAACCCAACGGCTGCTAGAACCTAGCAGTCATTGGGTTCCACCGACCTAGCAGCTGTTGGGTTTGAAATTGAACAAGTACCTAAAGGAACCCAGTGGTTGTTGGGTTCAAAATGGAACCCATCAGGTGCTAGGTTTGAAATTGAACCCAACAGTTGCTGGGTTTGAAACCGAACCTAACGCCTGCTGGGTTCGATGCACCTGCAGGAACCCAACGGCTGCCTTGCCTTGCCTTTTTCATCTTCATCAATCAATTTTTCATCGTCATCAAACAACAAAACCCAAACAAAAAAAAAATTTATTTTTGCCCCTGGTTTCCAAGGGGAAAGAGAACGGGAAGGGGAAAGAGAAAGCGAAAAAGAAGGAAAAAGAAAAAAAAAAAAAGAAAGAATTTTTTAAGTATTATTTTTTATAGTATTTTTTATATTATTATTTTTTCCATGTCATCACTTTTTTTGTCATATTGTTTTCCACATGTATTAATATTTGGCATATCATCTTGTAATCGTGAAGTAACAGGTCATGTCATAAGATTTTTAACGGAAGAACTAAATCGGGATAAAAATAATAAATAGTAAAGATTAAATCAAAGGATTTTTTTAATTTAGAGATCAAATCGAAGGTCCATATAATAGTTTAGGGACCAAAATGAAATTTTAATCAATTAGATTTATAGATTCCAGAGATATTTCTCCTTTGTTCAGATAGAAAATCTGCACCAGGTCAGTCAATGCATGATGCCATTTTTTGTACGTTCACTAGTGGAGACTTCGCTGGGCCAGTGAACTTTTATCTTCT